TCAAGAAAATAAAACATATTTGATAGATTGGTCAGTAATCGAGATATGTTCGAAATTTTCGATTTCGTAATAAGTACAAAAATTCAACAAATAATTTGAATTGGTACCCACCCGAAGAAAAAATTTGTAACATGTTGTATATGTAGCCGAGATACGACGTTGTAGCCGAGATCGAGTACTACAGAAATCTGTTTAAAATATTGCCGGCAATTGGTAAGTTACGAGAGTTATGACGCTCGGCGTGACCAATGCTGATGTTCACTAATACTCATTAATAATAAACCGACCGATATCCTTCTGAAAATGTGACACAGACAATTTCTGAAGATTTATTTTGATAAGAACCATCTCATTATTTATAATAACAGTGTTCACTTTTAATAATAATAATAATAATAAAAATATAAAATCGAATTCACAATAACTATGATAAAATCAAAAAAAATCAAACAATCTCTTCATGAAACATGAAACGAGAAGAGAAGATAAACAATGCAAATGCAACATGAAACGGAAATGATATATTATGATATGTACGAGCATGTATGGATTCTACATTGATTACTATTCATTTCAACAATAATATACTTCCAGAAATGAACGAAAAGGGAAATACTCATTTGAAGAAAATAAACGAAATCAAAAAATCGCACGATATAATAAGACATTAAAACGCAAAGATTTAATTATGAAATACAAACGTCAAGCAAAATGCTGAATTCAAATGAAGACTATTTTGCTTTCTTCAATGTTGAGTTCAACTGAAAACTGTCCGTCATTTGAACTGTCACAACCCTTTATGTTGAGATCACACAATAAGAAACGCTACAGAATGAAGAAAATATAGCATTTGGTTCATCACAGTTACGTCAGTGCATAGTCAAGACTGCATTAAAGTGCTTACGTTGATAGCGAAGCAATAGCGTTGGTCGTACTGCGGCGTCAGGTGGTATGATAAGCTGAAAGTTCTCTCGGATCGTTATGAAAAATGAGAATATAAATCACAAGCGATGCTTTCACAATGAACACGCTTAAGTCATTTGCTGAGACTTTCTTATACCTGTAAAAATATCCTATAGAAAGACGAAGTAATCGGGTATCACATTTGCACAATAACGTTTAGCCATTTCTCACCTTACATTTCACCATATGGTTGTAACATTTTTTGTTGAGTTCTCTACATCTCGCATTTTCACGCCTCGTTTTCTGTCCAGTTGTGAATCGTTGTAAGCCTGACTTGGTTTCTGCATGCCGTCGTTGCAACGATGACAGAAAACTTCCCAACACGCGGTGTTTCGCTAAACCTGCGTCTTTGAAAGGTACAAAACTTTTCCGTCGACGATGATGATAAT